ACTCCCGATCTCAGGTGATCCGCCCGCCTCGGCCTCCCAAAGTGCTGGGATTACAGGTGTGAGCCACCGCACCCAGCCGCCGGTCTCTTACGGTACATTTGTCTTGCATGTTTGTGCAAGTGTGAAACAAGACCCTGTGGTCTTCTGGAATAAAAGTACGTGATTCTGACTTGGAAAAAGTCAGCAGAAAATTATTTATTTGTAAAATATTGGGTTTGCCTATATCATCTGTAAATGGAGTTTAAATTATATATATATATATATATATTTTTTTTTTGTGTGTGAAACTGAGTCTCACTCTGTCACCAGGCTGGAGTACAGTAGTACAAACTCGTCTCACTGCAACCTCTGCCTCCAGGGTTCAAGTGATTCTCCTGCCTTGCCTCCAAAGTAGCTAGGATTACAGGTGCACACCACCATGCCTGGCTAATTTTTGTGTTTTTAATAGAGATAGGTTTTTGCCATGTTGGCCAGGTGAACTCCTGACCTCAGGTGATCCGCCCGACTGGGCCTCCCAAAGTGTTGGGATTACAGGCATCAGCCACTGTGCGCAAATAATAAATCTTTTATGTGTGGGAGAAATTAACACGAAGAGGTTAAAACAACCATATCGGCAAACTCCCAAGCACTATTCATATGAATGTGGGTCTGCACATGTATAAAATGTGTCTCTCTTTTAAAAAATCACTATATATGTTCTTTAAACTTTTCCTTTTCTAAAAGCTAAGGAAACACACTTCAAGTTCCATGTCACAATAATGTTACTACTGAGAAATGAGATGCACAGCTACAGACAATCATATTGTTTTTACATCTGCAGCCTGACCACATTACAGTAAAGGCAGAAAACTTAACACTCATGCATCTTAACTGAAACAGCATGTTTGCCCCAGGGAATAGAGTTATGGTTCTTGTGGAAAGCCCCAATTTTGATTCTCTGAATTTTGGTGAATGTGCATGCTCACCCAGAAAACTGACAGAATCCATACTGGGTATCTCTCAGCTAATGTCTCCGCCCAGTCCCCCCTGGCACCCATCTTCTATCAGCTTCTTTCCAGATCGGTGGTAAAGACCTGATCACCCACTGTGAGTGGAGCTGGGCATGGGGTAAAGAGCCTCCTAAATTGTCTACTTCCAGACTTGGAACTTACCCACAGCCCACTGGCGTTGTCCCTGAAGCCAGAGCACCCAAGAGGGTGATACTGGGGCTGCTGCCACCCTCTGGCCCTCTACCAATGCATATACATACACACATGCACACATGTACACGTGTCAAGCATATGTACATAACAGCACACTCAAGTGGACACATATACACAGGCAAATGGGCAAAGGTGCTCTGATGCACACAGACGTCACAAACATGTGCATACATGTGTACTCATGTACACACACATTTGAGCTCTTTATAAGCAGGGCTTTTATCTATGGGAATATTCTAGTTGACAAGCTGAAATGTGTAGGAGGAACAAGCGCCTTAGCCAGAAGGAAACCAAGTGAAGGAAGGATTTCTACCAGGGTTCCTGGTCTCTGCATCTCTAAAGAGGGTGTGGATCAGCAGGGGTGTCAAGCGCTATCCATTGCTGGAGGCTTCCTGGATGGCAACCAGGGTGCCCTCCTGAAAAGCCTGCAGGGACCAGCAGGCAGCTGCTGCCACAGCACTGCCCCACCCTTCTGAGCAGATGGAGCAGCTGGGAGCTGTGGCCATGGCCAAGTGTTGTTGGTTGAATGCGTTGAGGTTGTGAGTTGCGGTTCATTTTGTTATGTGTGCTCAAACAGGCGTGTTTCTAATGCTTTCTCCCAATATTCTCCATGAAGCTGTGTTCCTAGAAAACCCAGATCTGCCATCTTTACCACCTGCTCAAACCCCCCTAGTTGGAAACTTCTACCCAGTCAGCTGTGGGCAGCTACCCCCTTTCTGGGCACTGCCTCCTCCTTTCTTCCTCCCTCCCTCCAGGACTGAGACAAGGAGACAAGGAATTGGCTGACAGGCACTGCTGTGTGGTCGGTTGCCTGTTATACACTTCAACTCCCTCAAGGACAGAAAAGCACATATGCTGTTCCTCCTTATGCCCCTTGGGCTGGCTCCCAACTCTGCAGGTGTTCACTCTGGGGGTAACAGTGACTTTCCCTGGGCTGGGCGCGGTGGCTCAAGCCTGTAATCCCAGCACTTTGGGAGGCCGAGGCAGGTGGATCACGAGGTTGAGATCGAGACTATCCTGGTCAACATGGTGAAACCCCGTCTCTACTAAAAATACAAAAAAAAAAAAAAAAATTAGCTGGGCATGGTGGCACGTACCTGTAATCCCAGCTACTCGGGAGGCTGAGGCAGGAGAATTGCCTGAACCCAGGAGGTGGAGGTTGCAGTGAGCCGAGATCGCGCCATTGCACTCCAGCCTGGGTAACAAGAGCGAAACTCTGTCTCAAAAAAAAAAAAAAAAAAAAAAGACTTTCCCTCTGTGGGACGTCTTTGCCCTTGGCGCTGCAGGGAAACGTGGACTCCACCTTGTTGGAACATTGGACAGTTGAATGGGGAAATGTGAGAACAAGGTAGGCTCAGTTCCTGGCCTGTGCTGAGGACTCAACTTTTGCACCACTGGGGAACGCTTGCTGCTGAGCCTCCACAGCCCTGCCTCAGCATCAATCCCTGTGCGCAGCAGTTCAGGGGACGGGTCCGACCTGGGGCTCAGGATCACTGAAGAGCTTTAAAGCTGGTGGGCATTATGCCAGGAGGGAGCGGAAATTTTTTTTTTTTTTGAGATGGAGTCTTGCTCTGTCGTCCAGGCCAGAGTGTGGTACGATCTCGGCTCACTGCAACCTCTGCCTCCTGGGTTCCAGTGATTCTCAGCCTCCTGAGTAGCTAGAGTTACAGGTGTGTGCCACTATACCTGGCTAATTTTATTCTATTTTTAGTAGAAATGGGGTTTCACCATGTTGGCCAGGCTGGTCTCGAGCTCCTGACCTCAGGTGATCCACTTGCCTCGGCCTCCCAAAGTGCTGGGATTACAGGCGTGAGCCACCGCACCTGGCCAAGAGCAGAAGCTCTTTTGAGCTTGCAGGTGATTCTAGTGTGTAGTCACCTGTGATCCCCAAAGATCCTGCTCATAGACTTGTCCATGTTCCACTTTAATCCAACTCTGACAGGCATGCTTTCCATGAGAGGACAAACTGCTGCTCTGCCTCCCAGGGTTGCTGGCCCCTCCTGAGGTGCAGTGGGGGAGAGGGTGGCAGGGGTCATGAGGCAGGGAGGAGTCTCCATAGGATGGGTCGAGTCACCATAAATTCGGGCTGGATACTTTGGAGGCTGAGGTGGGAGAATAGTTTGAACCCAGGAGTTCAAGCCTGTTGTGAGCTTATGGGTGAGCCACTGTACGCCAGCCTGCATGACAGAGTAAGACACTGTCTAAAAGAAAATAAAAAAATTCTGGCTAGAGTCTGGCCATGGGGACCCATTAGACAAAGACCCCTTATCTGACTGACCACAGAGCTCCAGGCATGATGGGCCTCCCCAGTCACCACACTCTCATCCAGTGTGGCCCAAGTCAGCTCCCTGGATATGGAGCCCACCTGGGTTCCAGGTGCCTCTTGTGAACTTGGGCTGTGCTCAGGGGCCACCGAGTGGCTGGACCCCAGCGCCCTTCCGTGGCTATTCCATGAGCCACTTGTGGTGTTTTTAAATGGCTTTGACAAGACAGAGGTGGCATCTCCAGGACAGATGCTTCATTTATGAGGGTCAATTTCCACACAGCAGAAACTCTTCAGTCCATCAATTATATATTTAGGTGACTTTTCTTGGAGGAGCCACCCCACTTTACTAAGCGTCACCATGGTGACTCTCAGGGCTGGACAGTCACATTACCAGTTATCTAGAGTCTGGAATACCCAGTGTTTAAAAAAAGAAAAAAAAAGCATCTCAGGGAATTCCATCCTATTAACATGACACCTTGGCAGTAGCACTCCAGCCTCAAGACTGTGTTGCTGTAATCAAAGCGGGGGACAGGCTGGGTGCAGTGGCTCACGCCTGTAATCTCATCACTTTGGGAGGCTGATGCGGGAGGATCACCTGAGGTCAAGAGTTCAAGACCAGCCTGGCCAACATGGTGAAACCCTGTCTCCACTAAAAATAAAAAATTAGCCAGGAGTGGTGTCTCATACCTGTAGTCTCAGCTATTTGGGACGCTGAGACAGGAGAATCACTTGAACCTGTGAGGTGGAGGTTTTAGTGAGCTGAGATCACGCCACTGCACTCCAGCCTGGGCACAGAGTGAGACTCTTAAAAAAAAAAAAAAAGCCAGGGGACAGATTCCTGTATGTACCTCACAGCTGATCTAAAATAACCTCATTTCCACAGAGGAAAGGATCCCACTGGCCTGAATGGCAGTGGTGAGACATATCTGCCTTTCACTCGAGCATCTATACCACTTCCTTGTGGGATCTGTTGTAACAAAACACATTTGGGAGTGGGGGGTTCCTCTGGGGATGAGCTGCTCATGTAGGCTACCAAGTGTGGGCCCCTGGACTTACCCCATCCTCACCGGCGGCAAACCTCAGCAGGGAGGAAATGCTGCGCTGCGACAGCTGCAACGGCAGAAGCAGGGCTGGGTTAGACTCCCTCCAATGCAGTCAGTGCGCCAGTGAAATCACTCTCCCGAAAATTTACACGTCACATCCAAACCACCTGTCTCAGAGCTTCAGTCTCACGGCCTTTGGTCAAACGTGTTTTAACATGGAGAGACTGTGTTCAAATAGGGGGCATCCTCCCACCTTTCCCAGGGAAGCTCCTAGGACCTAGACGGAGCTCCAGATGCAACCCATCCTAGCCAAGTCCCAGCGCCTCTGCAGGTGTGCAGGAGGACGTGCACCTGCTCCAGCTCAGCCTCACCCTCGCTGTGCTGGAGTGAGCTACGAGTGCGTGCGTGCGTGCTCTGGCCTGGCTCCTACCTTGACCTTCACTCTGCAGCAGGGTCTTGAGCGGCAGTCCAGGAAGACCTGCAGGTGCCTCTTGAGAACAGGAGCTGTGACCACCCGGGAGCAGTCCCCACAGGAAAAGGCGCCTCTGGTATATGAAAAGCCAAGGGAAGACACGCCCCGGGAGGCATAAGTCAGGAAAGCTCCAGTGGGAGACATTTTCCTAAACATGAGTGTCTGCTGAGATAGAAAACGGGCTTTACTCTCAGAATCAAGTTTCTGAGAGAGGCCTGCAGCTGCCTGGACTCAGCCTGTCCAAGGGATGAACATCATCTTTGAGTAGCACTGGCTGGAGGCCAAGGAGGGTAGCAGAGGAGGGATAGGGAGCCTCCCAGGAAGGGAGGCCAGGGGTCAGGCTGCCCCCTGGACGGGGAGAGAAAGCCTGCTCTCAGATGCTAGCATGGCCACTGCGCTGTGCTACCATGCACGCCTGCACACGTGCTCCCCTATCCCTTCCACATGGCCTGGCGATGGCTTGTGTAAGGCCACCAGCAGAGGTGCACCAAGGAGACATCTGCTCTTTGCTATTTTTTTTTTTTTTTTTGAGATGGAGTCCCGTTCTTGCTCTGTCACCCAGGTTGGAGTGCAGTGGCGTGATCTCGGCTCACTGCAACCTCCCCCTCCCTCTGGTTCAAGCAATTCTCCTACTTCAGCCTCCTGAGTAGCTGGGACTATAGGTGTGTGCCACCATGCGTAGCTAATTTTTGTATTTTTAAAATTAATAGTAGAGATGGGGTTTCACGGTGTTGGCCAGGCTGGTCTCGAACTCCTGACCTTAAGTGATCCACCCGCCTCGGTCTCTGACAGTGCTGGGATTACAGGTGTGAGCCACTGCACCTGGCCATTAAGAAGCAGAAAAGTAATGAGCCCGTCTCTTTCTATCATATGACACTGCACGTGAGAGGCCGGAGCAGTTGACTCCACAGGGGCAAACTGCACTGACACTGGCCCAGACCCTGAGGGAGGGCAGCACAGTGGGGCAGGAAGGGACATCTGTCCAGCAGCTGCTCACTGTAAACCTGGTCTCTGTAACTGCACATTTCACAAAGGCCAAGCTGTACAGTTACCAAGTTTGTCTCACTTATTCATGTTTGTCCAGTTTTTCTTTATTCTCCTGACTGATAATAAAGAAGGTGGGGACAAAACCCAGCACTATTATCTCATAACAGGAGCAGTGCAAGAAGCAGCAGAAATCTCAGTAAGGAAAACCCATTGGCTCCAGGAGCCTCTTCCCTTGCCGCTCAGCAGAGGCAGAGGTTGCCCCTTGAGCTCTCGGGGGAGTCACCTGAGGCAGCAAGGCCCAGGCTCTGGGGCTGGGTTGCTGCTGTGCCCTTTGGGTTCCAGAGTTTTCAGGACAGTCCTGTCCCTTTACCTGTCTTCCGGCCTCTGTTCCAATCTCCCGTTGCCACACCAGTCACACACAGGCCATGAGAAAGCAGTGCTCTCGTCCACGCCAACCACAGTGCCTAGACCCAAGGGAAGAAAAGCCCACCTCAGAGGTGCTCCTGCCTCTCCGGTTCCTCTGCTCCTCCACGTGCAGATGACAACATGAGGGGCCTCATGATTTTTTTTTCCCTTACTTGTGAGTTTATATAAATGCTCCTAAGTTTTTATAATTTCCATTTATTGTACAAAGAAAAATGATGACAATAAAAAGTAGGTTTTAAAACTTGCCCGCATATTACCGCCTAACCGAAGTCTTTTCATTGGGCTCTTTCTCCAGGTGCATAGTTAGATCGCCACAGCGGAGCCGCCTGTGTGCTGTCTCGTCCTCCTTTCTGGTTGCTGGAAGACTATGCTGTCTTACCGATACTCCTCTGAGGTGCCCTGTCACAGTCCCTCAAACATTCCCCATATGGCATACTTAGGTCTGTGCTTTTTCTGTAGCATAATCATAGTATATAGACTCCTTAACACAGTAATGAGTGTCTGAGCTGTGACTATGCCACTGCACTCCAGCCTGGGAGATAGGGAAGACCCTGTCCCCCACCTTCTCCCCCCCCACAAAAAATGAAATAAATTGACAAATGAAAGACATCTGAGACGTGTGTCAGAGACACCCCTGGGCTTCCCAGAGGGTCACGGAAGGCTTCCTGAGGAAGGGAGTGAGGGGGTCCGCCAGCCAGCCAGTGCAGGCCACATGGGGCCTTGGCCGACTGTGCACAGCATGGCCAGGGTGAGGCTGGGTGAGCTTGCTCGTGCTTGCTGGGGATTGAGATGGTTTGATTTTCCTGGATGTGAAGCATTGTAATATCATCTAGAGAGAGCGGCAAATCAGACATCCTTGTTGAAAAGTGGTGAAATTAGATGTTTGAAGAAAAAGTAAAAGGAAGTTTCTAGAAAAATAGAAGGGTCTTCCTTTCCACTCTTGGAGCAAAAAAATTTCATTCCACACTAGAATAAGCGTTAGGAGAAATTTATCTTTAGAGGATAAAGCAGAGGTATGAGAATGAGTAGCTTGGTTCATTAAAGTGCATTCATGCAATGCATACTTGACTTACTTTTAAAAAATGAAAATAATAGATCTTGATTTTGAAAAGGCTAATGACATTGTCAAAGTGAGTCAAAGGGATGAAAAGCAAAGTCAATAAAGGCTCATAATGGAGCCGGAACACAGTGTTGACTAATTCACAACAGGCAGGCGCAGGAGGAGGTACAAAGGGAAAACGGAGTGGCCGCTTCCCTAAGCCCCAGAGCACGCCCCGCACCACCTGGCTCCCGCCCAGGGCCTGCAGGCCCAGCACAGGCCCACTGCCTGGTTTACCCGGTGCTTGGTAAATGACTGCTACCAGCCAAAGTTCCCTTTTATCCTAGGATATCCATGGGTGTTAATAGCATTTACGTTATGTGGGATTAAGCAATTTCCTTCCAATTAGAGAACAAGGCAAGAGTTGAGGAAATGCATTTCATCTGAGGTCCATAAGCCATTGGAAATCTTTTCTGGCAACCCTAAATACATTTCAAGAGATGGCTGGGAAGTGTATGATTAAACATTCATTGAAATGAACATCAGAAAGAAAAAGATAGTTTACATCAGGGTTGAGGACACCACACTCATGAGCTTGCCAGCAGTTTGCCATTAAGTTGTTGCTTGTCTTACGTGCAGAAATGTCTTGCAATTAGGTTTGGGAAAGGTGTATCGCTTAGTTACAAACATATCTTTTTAAAAAGGTCCTTTCAAAGGGTCCTCAGGATGGGTGGGTCTGGCGTTCACCACAACCTGGTGCACACATTTCTTCAGTAACTTGAACTCTGCTGTGCCCTCTTCCTCCTTATCTCCAGATGGAAAGAAGTCAGGGCTCACAAGTCTTCTCTTTAGAGGCTAGAACCTGGTTTTAGACAGGACTTTGCCCCACCTTCCACAGAGATGTGAGCTTGCTGCATCCCTTCCCGCAGCCCTGTGCCAGGTCCCATCGCTAGTGAGTGGTGGATAGAGAGGGGGTGAGCAGTGTGAAGGAGGGAAAGCAGTGCTACAAAACGATTTCACCCCAGAAGACACAGCAGAAAAATGTTTCCACACATCCCAGAGCTGCCATTCAGGGAGCACAGAGATGAGGAGGCCTTGTGACTCCAGCAAGGAGTGAGCGCCTCCCATTCACCCTGTCACTGAGGCTTGGATGGACAGAGGGATGCTGCCAGCTCTCAGTAAGTGAGTGCTCCATGCTCAGAGTATGTTCAGGGTCTTTTCAAGCTCTGCTCAGAGAAAATGTTCAGAAGCTCAGCTGGTTCAGCTGCTGATGACAGCGGCCCAAGCCCTAGCACCAACTCTCTGCAGATGTGAAGGAGTCCCCTTGGAGCCATGCAGGGAACATGTCATCACTGAGACCTTCCGGGCCAGGGCAGGGAGGAGCAGATCAAGGCTGAGGTGCTGAGATGGGGACAACTGCTATTGTCAAAGAGCAGTGAGGGCTCCAGCCTTGGATGGATTTGATGGAGTTGGGCAGGCCCGTGGCTGGCCGGTGTGCAAGCTAAGGACTGCATAAGTGCAGGTCACTGCCTAGCTGCTACCTTGCTATGGACATGCCTGTCGGTGAGGCTTGGATAATCTCTGCTATTTTGCAGCTGGGGCTTTGTTTTCTCTTAATGCCCAGTTGACTGGTTCTCATGAGTGGATCTGGCAGCACTTGGCCCTGCCTCTGTGATAAGTCTGTTTACAAATCCTGAGCCCTACATGTGGGCCTGCAGGGCAGCTGTGGAGCAGGCCTGGAGGCAGAAGAGGCCCACAGGGAATGCTACATGAAAATGGCAACATATGAGGAAAATGAAATGTTAAAAATGGGGATCTATATAAAGAAAGGAAGAATATTAGAGAAGGAATAAATGAAGGTGAAATAAAATCTTGTACATATCGAATTCTAAAGTGATAGAAAAGATAATCATTTATTTAAATACTAATAATGTAATCAATGATTACACCTTTTGAGTAACTGAGATGCGTAACAGCAGTTACATGGGATGGGAAAGAAAGAAAAGGATTGGGAACACTCTTGAGATGAGGTACCCGTATTACCTGTGAAGCAGGACAGTGTTATTTGAAAGTGGCTATAAAGTGTATTGCAAACTCCAATCAAAATCCCATCAAGTTGTTTTGCGGATATCAACAAGTTGATTCCGAAGTTTATATGGAGAGGCAAAATGACCTAGAATAGCCAAAACAATATTGAAGGACAAGAACAAAGTTGGAAAACTGACAGTACCCGACTTCGAGACTTAAAAGTTGCAATAATTGAGACAGGGTACTGGTACCCCAAAGAACAAACAGATCAAGGGAACACAGCATAGATCCTTGTAAATATAGTCACCTGAGTTTTGACAAAGGAACAAAGACAGGCCAGGTGTGGTGGCTCACGCCTGTAATCCCAGCACTTTGGGAGGCAGAGGCAGGCAGATCACAAGGTCAGGTGTTCGAGACCAGCCTGTCCAATATAGTGAAACCCCGTCTCTACTAAAAATACAAAAATTAGCCGGGTATGGTGGTGTGCACCTGTAACCCCAGCTACTTGGTAGGCTTTGGCAGAAGAATTGCTTGAACCTGGGAGGCGGAGGTTGCAGTGAGCCAGACTGTGCCATTGTACTCCAGCCTGGGTGACAGAGCAAGACTCCATCTCAAAAAAAAAAAAAAAAAGAACAAAGACATTTCAATGGAGGAAGAACAGTCTTTTCAACAAATGGTGCCAGAACAACTAGATTATTTCCACATGCAAAAAATGAATCTAGACATAGATCTCACATCTTTTACAAAAATTAGCTCAAAATGGATCACAGACTTAAATGTAAAACACAAAACTAGAAAGAAAACAGGAGAAAATCTAGATGACCATGGGTTTGATAATGAGTTTTTACATGTAACACTAAAAGTGCAATTCATGAAAGAAAGAACTGATGTGGGACTTCATTGAAATTAAAACTTATGGTTTGCAAAAAGACTATTAAGAGTATAAAAAGGGCCAGATATGGTGCCTCATGCCTGTAATACCAGCACTTTGGGAGGCCGAGGTGGGTGGATTACCTGAGGTCAGGGGTTCAAGACCAGCCTGGCCAACATAAGGGAAACCCTTTCTGTACTAAAAATATAAAACTTAGCCTGGTGTGGTGGTGGGTGCCTGTAATCCAGCTACTTGAGAGGCTGAGGCAGGAGAACTGCTTGAACCCGGGGGGCAGAGGTTGTAGTGAGCCAAAATCACACCATGGCACTCCAGCCTGGGTGACCGAGTGAGACACCATCTCAAAAAAAAAAAAAATAATAAGTATGAAAAGACAAGCCATGAGCTGGGAAAAATATTTTCAAAAATACATCTGATCAAGGACTGTTAACTTTTAAAACTCAACAATAAGAAAATGAACAACCCAATTAAAAAATAGGCAAATGATTTGAACAGACAAATCATCAAAGAGGAACCATATGAAAAGATGCTCAATGTCATACGTCACCAAGGAATTGCAAATTAAAGCCACAATGAGATACTACTACACACCTATGAGAATGGCAAAAATACAAAACATTGGTAACAACAAATGCTGGTGAGGATGTAGATCAAGAGGAGTTCTTATTCATTGCTGGTGGGGATGCAAAATGATACAGCCAACTTTGGAAGACAGTTGAGCAGTTACTTCCAAAACTAAACATGATCACAATCGTACTTCTTAGTATTTACCCACATAAGTTAAAAACGCACGTTCACACAAAAACCTGCCCACACGTTTATAGCAGCCTTATTCATAGTTGCCAAAACTTGGAAGCAAACCAGAAAACTGTGGCATGTCCATGCGATGGAATACTACTGAGTGCTAAAAAGAAATGAGATACCAAGCAATGAAAAGATGTGGAGGAACCTTAAATGCATATTGCTAAGTGAAATAAGGTAATCTGAAAAGGTTGCATACTGTATGATTCCAACTATGTGACATTCCGGAGAAGGCCAAACTCCAGGGACAGTACAAAGATGAGTGGTTGCCAGTGGTTAGTGGTGAGGGAGGGATGAAGAGCCAGGCACAGGGTTTTTAGGGTGGTGGAGTTGTTCTGAATGATACAGTAATGGTAACGGTAGTACACAGTATCATACATCTGTCAAAACCAACAGAACTGTACAACACAAACAGGGAATGCTGGCTCCCCTGGGTGTTGGGGTGCACAGGAGCCCTGGCTCGCCTAAATGTAAAGAGCATCAGGTTCCTTGAGTATGGGTTGATTCTGGGAGATGTGGGATCCCTGGCTTACCTGGGTGTGAGGAGCATTGAGACCCTGGCTCCCTTGGCTTTCCCAGGGGTGGGAGCCCCTGGTCCCTCCAGCTTGGCTCCTAGGGCACCCTCCCATGTTAGCCCAGTGCCTGGGCCAGCTGTAGCTGCTTGGAGAAGGCAAATCCCCTGCTGCTGGCAATGCTGGCCGTAAGGAGACTGCCCAGATGTAACAACTGGTGCTTATATCTTTTCCATGAAGCTTAGGATGGCAGGGATGCCTCCTTCCTGCTCAGGCCACTAAAGTGACTTTGGTTTCCTAGGACATTTATTAACTGATGTGAGAGGCCTAGAACTTCTCATTGGCAAACCAATGGTGCCTGTGTTCAGTGCTGTCTCTGTGCCCTGTGGGCCAACTCCCCCAAAACCCACTGCCTTCCTGCTCACCACCTCACCTCAGCCTTTACCCACAGCTCTCTCACAAGGAGGACCTGTGAGGGTTTCCAACTTTTATTAAAAAGGAGCCCTGGGTGGGGGAAGGGAGAGCATCAAGAAGAACAGCTAATGGGTGCTGGGCCTAATACCTCGGTGATGGGTTGATCTGTGCAGCAAACCACCATGGCACATGTTTACGTATTTAACAAACCTGCACATCCTGCACATGTACCCCGGAACTTAAAAGTTGAGGGGAAAAAAAAGAATCCTGCCATTCCTGGCCAAGACCATATTTCCATTCTTCAGTATTTCTCTAGAAGAAAACAAAGTTTATCAGTAATGTTTGAATGCCCCACTGTGGTTTACACTTTATAAAATAAAATTTTAGCAAAGTACAGCGAATGAAAGGAAGCTTACTTAAACCATGAGGGTAGTAATGCATCTTCTGACTAGAGCCCGTGTGGGCAAATGAAACACGAAGGAGCTCTTTCCTCTAATGAGGTACAGAAGAAAGGACAAAAGAGCCAAAATAAGTAGTTTAAGCTATTTCTTAAGTGAATTTGAGAAAGGAAAACGTGTCAAATACGACTGGCTTAGTCAGAAATGTTGATCCCACCAACTTATAAAATGAGGGCACAGAAAATAAAACACCCCTTTTCATCTTAATACATGCAAAATACATGAACCAACTGGAGTTTGTTTTCCTCCCCTTTTTAGAAACCTTGCTTCTTTGCTTAGGGTTGGGAAGAGTGCTGACTGAGAAAAGGACAAATGCATATGAGGGTCTCTGTATGTGACTGATATGATGCCCTCTCTACTGCACTCGGAGGCAAGCACGGAGCTTTAATAGAGCACACCTCCACTCTTACTGTCCACTCAAACCTTGGAATAAAAACACGGATCCTGGCTGCAAGCTTTGCAATGTGGCTTGGGTGGACTGGACACAGGGAAGCCAGTCTCTGGAGTCCTTCAATGTGTCTGCACATGGACACGGGGCTTGGACCTGTGCAGCTGTTTTTGATTAAGGAGGGTGCCAGGAGAGCATGTGCTCCAGTGTCTCTCTCATTTTAGAAAGGTGTTACACTCAGCAAAGCCCACAGAGATCTGAAGGCAGCAGCCAAGTGTTAGGAATGGCATCTTGTGCTGCTCTCCTGCCAGTGCTTAGCTGCTTAAGGGTCTCAACTGAAGATCTCTGGAACACCTAAATTTGCTATCAGGAACAGAGCTTTATGTGCCTACTGATTACACTACACATATTTAGTTCTTACCACCCATATGAAGGTTCAGTTTGAGTGAGGTGGGGCCTAAGGATGGCTCAGCCTCATCAGTGTTCCCAGCTGCTGTCACCACAGCTAATGCCCAACAGGGAGGTTGCTGCACTGTCACAGGAGGCTGCATCTGACCACCTAGAGCAAATTTCCCTCAGCGTAAAAGTTGAGGGGAAAAAAAAGAATCCTGCCATTGGATCCTGTGGCCTACTGCCACAGGAACTACAGGGGAGTGTCTGCCTCTGTGTGCACCTCTGTGGCACTCACTGGCTGTAGTTAGGAATGCATTAGAGAAACCCTCCTTGGGGTTCTTCAGGTACATAATTACTCATGAGACACTGCTATGGGCGGTGGCGATTCTTATGGTCACAGAATAACAGGGTCCCATTTAGCCTAACTGGTGTGTGGCATGGCAGTGACTTTAAGACTCAGAGCTGAGACCTCCACTGTGGGATGTTCTCTCTCTGAGCCCCTGGCCAATCCTGCGGGGGAGGAGAACAGGTAGCAACCAATGAAGAGAAGGAATGTGGAAGGGATGTCCTTATAGAAGTGCCTGGAGACCAAAAAGCTCTGGAAGCAGGTGATGGATCATTGCCAAAAGCACACAGATACCGCATGCACCCCTCTGCGCCATGTGCCCTGTCCTTGTAGTCCGCTCAGGGGTGCAGTGCTGCTCTACACCAAGGAGTAGCTCCATGCTGTCACACATGGGCCAGGCGGTCTGCTCTACCCCTGCAGACCCTCTGCCCTTCTACCTCTTCCTGCCAATCATCTCTTGCTGCTTTGCCTCACAGTCTATGGGGCAATTTCTTCATTAAAAAATCCAGCCAGGCCGGGCGCAGTGGCTCAAGCCTATAATCCCAGCACTTTGGGAGGCCGAGGCAGGTGTATCACGAGGTCAAGAGATCGAGACCATCCTAGTCAACATGGTGAAATCCCATCTCTACTAAAAATACCCCATCTCCACATGGCCAGGGAAAGCAGAGCGATACACAAACAACTGGGTCCCTGCTGCCCTTCTTGGTCCCGCCCCTCTCCCAGCACTTGAAAGGGTTTATAACAGCTCCCAGCACTTCTGTGGGTTTTCCATGTGCCCTTCTACCAGCTCTTATGGCCTTACCCAATTCTGTTTGACAAATTCTGATGGTCCTAAGGCCACCCACCCACTGCAGTCACTGGCTGCAGCCCTCAGACATCCCTCCCTCCCTTCCTGACTCCTGGTATCAGTACTGAGATGCCTCAGAGCTTCAAAGCCCCCAAAGCCTCCTGAACATTATCTCATTTAATTCTCAATAGTGGTTTGAGGCTGATTCCATTAGCCCTATTTTACAGAAGAGAAAATGGAGGCCCCATATGAGCCATCACCCCATAACTGCAGTTATGTGTCACATTAGCCCCAAAAGGAGATGCACAGAAGAGAAAATCCAAATGGCCTCAACACAGTGAAAGAAGGTGAAAGCAACAATGGAATCATAGGAGTTTTCTGTTCATCAACAATTATAAAACATCAGGAACTAGTTATAGGGAAGGGTGAGGAAAACCAGTCATCTTAGACATCACTCTAGGAAGTCTGAATTTTGATATGCTTTCTGTTAACTAATTTACCAAAATCTTTAACTATTAAAGATGTAGAGGCTGGGCGCGGTGGCTCACGCCTGTAATCCCAGCACTTTGGGAGGCTGAGGCGGGTGGATCATGAGGTCAAGAGATCAAGACCATCCTGGTCAACATGGTGAAACCCCGTCTCTACTAAAAATACAAAAAATTAGCTGGGCATGGTGGTGCGTGCCTGTAATCCCAGCTACTCAGGAGGCTGAGGCAGGAGAATTGCCTGAACTCAGGAGGCAGAGGTTGCGGTGAGCTGAGATCGCGCCATCGCACTCCAGCCTGGGTAACGAGAGCGAAACTCTGTCTCAAAAAAAAAACAAACAAAAAGTAGCCAGGTGTGGTGGTGCATGCCTGTAATCCCAGCTACTTGGGAAGCTGAGGCAGGAGACTCTCTTGAACCTAGAAGGCAGAGGCTGCAGTGAGCTGAAATCACGACACTGCATTCCAGCCAGGGTGATACAGTGAGACTCTGTCTCAGAAAAAAAAACAACAACAAAAAAGAAGATGCACAAACCCCCAGTGTAGCCGCTTTGGAACATACTGGTGTTCTTCAAAAAGGTTAAATGCAGAATTACCATATGACTAGGCAATTCCAGTCCTGGATTCATACCCCAAATTTCAAAACAGTTGTTCAGACAAAATCTTGTCCATGAATATTCATAGCAGCTCTATTCTTAGCAGCCAAAAAGTAGAAACAACCTAAATGAAATGTCCGTCAACTAAGGAAAGAATGAAATGTGGCATAGCTGTACAATGAAAGGCTATTCTGCCACAAAAGGAATACAAAGTGCATTGTGGATGAACCTTGAAAACATTATGCTGAGTGCAAGATGCCAATCATGAAACACCACATAGTATATTAGGTTTGTGAAAAAGCAATCTCAGCTCTTTCCCTTACTTTTAATGGCAAAAACCACAATTACTTTTGCACCATTATTCCAGTTAACATGAAATGTCCAGAATAGGCTGGGCGCAGTGGCTCACGCCTGTAATCCCAGCACTTTGGGAGGCTGAGGTGGGCGGATCACCTGAGGTCAGGAGTTCAAGACCAGTCTGGCCAATATGATGAAACCTCGTCTCCACTAAAAATACAAAAATTAGCTGGGCATGGTGGTATGTGCCTATAATCCCAGCTCCTTGGGAGGCTGAGGCAGGAGAATTGCTTGAACGCAGGAGGCGGATGTTTTGGTGAGAAGAGATTACACCACTACACTCCAGCCTGGGTGACAAAGTGAGACTCTATCTCAAAAAAAAAAAAAAAAAAAAAGTTCAGAATAGGCAAATTCACAGACGCCAACAGTAGAGTGGTGGTTTCCTAAGACCAGTATGTGGGAGGGTGGTTGGTAACGGGACATGACTGATAACGGGTTCAGGTTTTTGTTCTAAAATTAGACAATAGTGATGTTTGCACAATTCTGCGAATACTAAAACACTTTAAATGAGTGAATTATATGGTATTACTGAGTTATAGTGCAATAAAATTGCTTAAAAAGTCCATGAACCCCAAACTGCTGAAATCCTCCTTTACAGAAATTGGTAGGAACTGATATCCAAGAATGTTTATTACAGCCTTGTTTAATAATTGCAAAAATATGAGAAATCCTGGATGTCCAGGACTGGAGGAAGAGTTTATTCATATGAAGGGATGCTATGTGATTATTAAACTCTTGAGTTAGATCTCTCTCCCCACCTGGACAGACATCCCTGCTAGAGGGAAGCGAGTGGCAGAATAATGTGCAATAAAGCATCTGACTTGCAGGCACACACGCCCCTCAAGGCAAGTAGCTGCGTCTCCTGCACCAATGCAGCAGGAAGCCGGGGACGGAGGGTGGGCTGTTACCCTTGTCTTCATTTATTTTTCACTAGTTCTGCTAGACATGTATGACTTTTATTACTAAGTTTTATAAAGTAAAACAAGAGAAAATATTAATGCTATTTTCAGCTCCAGACTCACATATCCTATCAGCTGCTGAACATCTCAGATGTATACAAAACACACAAACTCTCCAGATAGAACTGAGAGGGTCCCCTCAAAGCTGACCTCGCCTGCCACATCCTACTTCATGAACAGCACCGTCACCTCGTCTGAGCCAGGAGCTCAGAGGTTGTCAGCTACGTCTTTTGCCTCCATCTATGCCCAATTCATTGCTCAACCTTCTGATTTCCCTAAGTTCACCCTGGATTTCCTTCTCTATCACTGCCTCCACTGCCACCCAGCCCCTCCACTCTTCTCTGCAGGGAGGACATCAGACCAGGCCCCCTGTGCCAGTGACAGAGCGCACTCCTGACACCACCAGCCTGAGTTTGCGCTCAGCTCCATCTGGCTGCCTGTCCTGCCTCTTCCCGGGCACCCCTGCTCACCAGCTCTCTCATGCCAGTGGCCTTTTGAAGTCCTGCTGTCTTCCCAGGAATGTTCCTCCTGCTCTGTCCCTGACCTAAGTAGTCCCTCTATGCTTCAGATCTCAGCTTGAGACTCCTGTCTTTGGGAAGCCTTCCCTGAGCTCCCCGACAAGACATGGGCCCAGGTATCGGTGGCTGGAGCACTCAGGGCCTGAGGGCTAGGTTTGTCTGTGCTCAGCTGATTCACATCCTTCTGACTTGGGTCTGATACCAAGAACAACTTCTGCTTTTGTTCCTTATGTATCCAGTGTCTGGAACTTAGCGGGTGCTCCAGAAATCCTTGTTGAATAAATGAGTAAATGCATATAAAGTAGTTAACAAAGTATAAACATCACTTCCTGTGAGGCAGCTGCCTACCTTGAACACTACAGATGGAGTTGACAGGTGTGGCAGGGTCCAGGCTGTCGAGCGTCACCGGGCCAGGCAGCTCACAGGAGCTTACACCAGAGCCCACACTCAAAAGGGGCTTCTGAAGCAAGAGGACAGTCCTTTCAGCACAAACAATCCGACCTGCCAACATAGACACTTCAGGTTATTGAAGCCTTGACAAAAAAAGTGAATTGTGCCAATAATGGCAGCCTCCTTTGCTACCACTAGAGTCATATAGGTGAAGGTGCAGGTATGAGACTGTGTCCAGCAGCACAAAGCAAAGCACTGTGTGGACATACTCCAAACCCCGTGTGCAAGGCTAAAAAAGCACTCAGATGTGAGATTCAAGTCAATCCAGAAAGGGTAAATTATGTGGAATGTGAATAATGTCTCAATAAAAATGTAAAAAGACAGCTTAGCCAGGATTTTAGTTTGATCCCTGGAAAAAGGGGTTGGCTGATCTAAGTATATGCATTTATAATATTCTAGCTTCGGTTTGTTTGTGGATTCTGCAGCAGAACAGGGGGCCACCAGCAGACAATTCTGGAGTGAGCAATAGCATCTGCACAGAGCTGGTTCTGCCCAGGTGGCTGCTACAGGGTCAGTGAAGCCTGGTACATGGGCCATGTCTGTGATGGGCTCCCTGAAGACGCCAGCAGTGTCCAAGCAACTTGGAGGCATCCAGAGGCCACAAGAGCTATTCTATGGGCACCTATCAGCCGCCCCTGCACCCAAGCTGTGGAGAAGCAAGCATACCCTGGTCTCGGAGAGCATCTTTGAAGAGAATGCTGTGAGAGGCAGTCCCAGCCAGTGCCTCTAGGACTTCAGAGTCCAGCACACACAAGGGGGTCACATAGACCAGCAGGGTTTTAGGGAGCCTGGGGTCACTCTCCTCCTTAGTTTGCAGGGTGACGTCGGTCACCAGTAGCCAGATCTCCCTTTGCTCCAGAAAAAGCAGACTCTTTAGCTACAATTCGAAGACACAATAAAGATTAATTATCATATCAAAAATGTTTTAAAGACATTTAAAAGCAAAAGTTATATATACACTAACAATTTTTTTTTTTTTTGAGACGGAGTTTCGCTCTTGTTACCCAGGCTGGAGTGCAATGGCGTGATCTGGGCTCACCGCAACCTCCGCCTCCTGGGTTCAGGCAGTTCTCCTGCCTCAGCCTCCTGAGTAGCTGGGATTACAGGCACGCACCACCATGCCCAGCTAATTTTTTGTATTTTTAGTAGAGACGGGGTTTCACCATGTTGACCAGGATGGTCTCGATCTGTTGACCTCGTGATCCACCTGCCTCGGCCTCCCAAAGTGCTGGGATTACAGGCTTGAGCCACCGCACCGGGCCTATACACTAACAATTTAAGATATTATTTTAAATACACTTTAAAACATACATTGGACTTTGCACATCTTGGGATCCTCGACCTTGCACCTGGTTAAAGGCTGCCTTCACTGGGAACAGGCCATACTTCCCTGGCAGCATTCCATTTGTCTGCCGACCTCCTCAGGCAGAATCCATTGTTCTTTTCCTGCTGGTCCTGTGTTTATATTCTTAAGAGTGTTAATTACAAGGTTGTTTCCTATCTAGTACATACACATTATTCTTTCCAGGCAGTTTAGGTTTCCTGAGGGTTAGGAATAGATCTTACTTGCCCTCAGACTACAGGGCCTTGGTATAAAGCAGGTGTTGCAAATTTGTTGTACCTGCAACAGGCTTTATTATTTTCTTTTCTTCTTCTCTATTTTTTCTTTTTCATTTTTTTCTTATCTGCAAAACTTGTAATGCCTTTTCAAGTTCCATTAAGCTGGTATTCTGCCCCTTCCTCTTGGTCAGGGCTTAGGATTCAGTAGACGCAAATGGGGCCAAGGATGGTAAGCAGGGTAGGGCCTGAGGACACGGCTATTTGGAGGTTCGGCTGGTGTTGCCGGCACAGATTGTGTGGTCAGGCTGAGGATTCCACATGGGTGGTTAACAGGACTGGGCAGAGAAGGTCACTTGCATGGTCTGTAGCTGAGGGTTGGGGTGAAGGAGGTGGTCTACGTTGTCAGGAGGTTGATTACACACAGGAAGTATGAATAAGTAATATTGAGGAAAATGAAGCCAAGCCTCTCACTTTTGGAAAAGGGAGTTATACATATAGAAACAGGGAAACTTAGAATAAATTCTGTGGTAATGCTCTAGAGTTGGAAGTACTGGTATGAAATCATGATTTTAGACAGACAGAAATACAGAAATAGATATGGTGATGTATGTGTGTATGTGGAAGGATATACACACGTTTCCTTTCTCTGTCCACTGAGAGGGCATAAAGGCAATGACACCCCAATAGCAGCAAGCCCACCTAGAACCCAGATCTTGGCTTCTAAATATCATTCTTTTTTTTTTTTTTTTTTTCAAATGCAAGAAAACTTTTTATTTTACTTGCGTAAATTGTTCAGGGTTCCTTTGTATATATATATATATATTTTTTAATTTTTATTGGATTTTAGGTTTTGGGGTACATGAGCAGAGCATGCAAGACAGTTGCGTAGGTACACACATGGCAGTGTGCTTTGCTTTTCTTCTCCCCTTCACCCACATTTGGCATTTCTCCCCAGGCTATCCCTCCCCACCTCCCCCTCCCACTGGCCCTCCCCTTTTCCCCCCAATAGACCCCAGTGTTTAGTACTCCCCTTTCTGTGTCCATGTGTTCTCATTTCTCATCACCCACCTATGAGTGAGAATATGCGGTGTTTCATTTTCTGTTCTTGTGTCAGTTTGCTGAGGATGACGTTCTCCAGATTCATCCACGTCCCTACAAACGACACAAACTCATCATTTCTGATTGCTGCATAATATTCCATGGTGTATATGTGCCACATTTTTCCAATCCAGTCTATTATCAATGGGCATTTGGGTTGATTCCAGGTCTTTGCTATTGTAAACAGTGCTGCAATGAACATTCGTGTACATGTGTCCTTATAGTAGAACGATTTACAGACTTTTGGATATATACCCAGTAATGGGATTGCTGGGTCAAATGGAATTTCTATTTCTAAGGCCTTGAGGAATCGCCACACTGTCTTCCACAATGGTTGAACTAATTTACACTCCCACCAACAGTGTAAAAGTGTTCCTTTTTCTCCACATCCTCTCCAGCATCTGTTGTCTCCAGATTTTTTAATGATCGCCATTCTAACTGGCGTGAGATGGTATCTCAATGTGGTTTTGATTTGCATCTCTCTGATGACCAGTGACGATGAGCATTTTTTCATATGATTGTTGGCCTCATATATGTCTTCTTTCGTAAAGTATCTCTTCATATCCTTTGCCCACTTTTGAATGGGCTTGTTTGTTTTTTTCCTGTAAATCTGTTTGAGTTCTTTGTAAATTCTAGCCCTTTGTCAGATGGGTAGACTGCGCAAATTTTTTCCCATTCTGTTGGTTGCCGATCCACTCTAGTGACTGTTTCTTTTGCCGTGCAGAAGCTGTGGAGTTTCATTAGGTCCCATTTGTCTATTTTGGCTTTTGCTGCCAATGCTTTTGGTGTTTTGTTCATGAAGTCCTTGCCTACTCCTATGTCCTGGATGGTTTTGCCTAGATTTCCTTCTACGATTTTTATGGTGCCAGGTCTTATGTTTAAGTCTTTAATCCATCTGGAGTTAATTTTAATGTAAGGTGTCAGGAAGGGGTCCAGTTTCTGCTTTCTGCACATGGCTAGCCAGTTTTCCCAACACCATTTGTTAAACATGGAATCCTTGCCCCATTGCTTGTTTTTGTCAGGTTTATCAAAGATTGTATAGTTGTATGTATGTTGTGTTGCCTCCGGTGCCTCTGTTTTGTTCCATTGGTCTATATCTCTGTTTTGGTACCAGTACCATGCTGTTTTGATTACTGTAGCCTTGTAGTATAGTTTGAAATCCGGTAGTGTGATGCCCCCCGCTGTGTTCTTTTTGCTTAGAATTGACTTGGCTATGCGGGCTCTCTTTTGGTTCCATATGAAGTTCATGGTGGTTTTTTCCAGTTCTGTGAAGAAAGTCGATGGTAGCTTGATGGGGATAGCGTTGATTCTGTAAATTACTTTGGGCAGTATAGCCATTTTCACGATATTAATTCTTCCTAACCATGAACATGGAATGTTTCTCCCTCTGTTTGTGTCCTCTCTGATTTCGTTGAGCAGTGGTTTGTAGTTCTCCTTGAAGAGGTCTCTTACGTTCCTTGTGAGTTGTATTCCAAGGTATTTTATTCTTTTTGTAGCCATTGCGAATGGCAGTTCGCTCTTGATTTGGCTTTAAGTCTGTTATTGGTGTAGACGAATGCTTGTGATTTTTGCACATTGATTTTATATCCTGAGACTTTGCTGAAGTTGCTTATCAGTTTCAGGAGTTTTTGGGCTGAGGCAATGGGGTCTTCTAGGTATACTATCATGTCGTCTGCAAATAGAGACAATTTGGCTTCCACCTTTCCTATTTGAATACCTGTTATTTCTTTTTCTTGCCTGATTGCTCTGGCTAGAACTTCCAGTACTATATTGAATAGGAGTGGTGAGAGAGGGCATCCTTGTCTCGTGCCGGATTTCAAAGGGAATGCTTCCAGTTTTTGCCCATTCAGTATGATATTGGCTGTTGGTTTGTCGTAAATAGCTTTTATTACTTTGAGATACGTTCCATCGATACCGAGTTTATTGAGGGTTTTTAGCATAAAGCGCTGTTGAATTTTGTCAAATGCCTTCTCTGCGTCAATTGAGATAATCATGTGGTTTTTGTTTTTGGTTCTGTTTATGTGGTGAATTATGTTTATAGACTTGTGTATGTTGAACCAGCCTTGCATCCCCGGGATGAATCCTAGTTGATCATGATGAATAAGTTTTTTGATTTGCTGTTGCAATCGGCTTGCCAATATTTTATTGAAGATTTTTGCATCTATGTTCATCATGGATATTGGCCTGAAGTTTTCTTTTCTCGTTGGGTCTCTGCCGGGTTTTGGTATCAGGATGATATTGGTCTCATAAAATGATTTGGGAAGGATTCCCTCTTTTTGGATTGTTTGAAACAGTTTTAGAAGGAATGGTACCAGCTCCTCCTTGTGTGTCTGGTAGAATTCGGCTGTGAACCCGTCTGGACCTGGGCTTTTTTTGTGTGGTAGGCGCTTAATTGCTGCCTCAACTTCAGACCTTGTTATTGGTCTATTCACAGTTTCAGCTTCCTCCTGGTTTAGCCTTGGGAGGACACAGGAGTCCAGGAATTTATCCATTTCTTCCAGGTTTACTAGTTTATGTGCATATAGTTGTTTGTAATATTCTCTGATGATGGTTTGAATTTCAGTGGAATCTGTGGTGATTTCCCCTTTATCATTTTTTATTGCATCTATTTGGTTGTTCTCTCTTTTATTTTTAATCAATCTGGCTAGTGGTCTGTCTATTTTGTTGATCTTTTCAAAAAACCAGCTCTTGGATTTATTGATTTTTTGAAGGGTTTTTCGTGTCTCAATCTCCTTCAGCTCAGCTCTGATCTTAGTTATTTCTTGTCTTCTGCTGGGTTTTGAGTTTTTTTGATCTTGCTCCTCTAGCTCTTTCAATTTTGATGATAGGGTGTCAATTTTGGATCTCTCCATTCTCCTCATATGGGCACTTATTGCTATATACTTTCCTCTAGAGACTGCTTTAAATGTGTCCCAGAGGTTCTGGCACGTTGTGTCTTCGTTCTCATTGGTTTCGAAGAACTTCTTTATTTCTGCCTTCATTTCGTTGTTTACCCAGTCAACATTCAAGAGCCAGTTGTTCAGTTTCCATGAAGGTGTGCGGTTCTGGGTTGGTTTCTGAATTCTGAGTTCTAACTTGATTGCACTATGGTCTGAGAGGCTGTTTGTTATGATTTCAGTTGTTTTGCATTTGTTGAGCAGTGCTGTACTTCCAATTATGTGGTCAATTTTAGAGTAGGTGTGATGTGGTGCTGAGAAGAATGTGTATTCTGTGGATTTG